TAGAAATTATAACTATCATGTAGGCCTAATATTAAAGAAAAGGTTCATAAAAACTAGAATTATGAAAATGTTCTTTTTCCCAGTGTACAATAATAAATGGGTTTTTAATGTTATTTGTAGAAGGGAACTAGATCAATGGTTATATGTATTAAAGAGAATTATAACTAAATGTAAAGAAGCTTGTTTATGGCTTGTAGAATATTTTGCCAGTAAAGAAGGCTCAGAATTTATCAAGTGAGTAACCTGTTTCTTATACAGGATTTAAGATTGTTGCTTCATAGTTTTTATTCTCCAAAGCATAATTTTGCAGTTATTTAAAGCAGTAATGGACCAATCATCACAGTTAGTGCCTAAATTCAGCAATTTATTGGGGTTGAGGGTATAATGACCTTTATATATTGCCTTCACTCAGTGTTCTTGGAATAGGAACTTTGTTACCTTGAAATACTTAAATGAATCTTGTAATTTATATTTTTTTAGGCCATTTTTGTTAGAGTGTCCTAATAAGGATATTAGAGTGATGTTTTCTGAATTGTTAGAAAATCTAATGTCTGCTTTCTTTCTCCATGGTGGGGTGGCTGTAAGTACAAAGTTTGTCTTTTCTAAAATAACTTAATCCTATTTCTATTTATATTCTGTTGAAAACTGATGTCTGCTTGCATTATGTTGCGTCTTGATGTTCAAGAATCTGGAATAATTTTGACGTCCAGTCCTTGAGTCTGTGGACTGATATTCTAATCACTAAATGGTTGAAAAAATTTTTCAGCTTCAAAAACTTGGACTTTGTTATCTTTGAAAGCTCTCCCGCAAAAACTCATTTCATTTTATTTCCAATATGAAATGAATATTTTTATTAAATGTTCCATCTTACTGTTTCAGACTCATAAAAGTTTTGACCCTATATTAGAACAGTTATTACATATGTTAAATAAAGACGTGGTAGATAATGTAAAGAATGCTGTACAGTATTTTAATCTTATATTAGCTTATATACAAATGGTACGTATAAGTTTACTTGCTTAACCAGTCTGATTAAATTGTTATTGAGAGTTTGTTTTCTGTTTTTCTGTGGGTATATACTCTTAAAGATATCATATTAGGGATTTATTCAACCAATTCATATCTCAATTCAATAAAAGTTTTATGTGTCTATTTTTTTTTTCAGGGTACCAAAGCCTGTGCACATATGTTTGGTCGTCAAGGCTTTCAACGTCTGGTCACATTTTTACTTGGTCATCCAGATACCTTTGTAAATGGAAAAGAAAAGGTAACAGATAATTTTTCTTTTAGAAGTGTGTTGTTTTGACTGTGCAATCTTCAGACAGCTGGAAAATAATTGAGTATTTTTCAAGCTAGTTTTTCCTCCTGTCAGTGATGGAGATTGAGGGCCTGACAACGAAAAAGCTTCTAGTTGTTTTCATAGGACAATAAACTGAGATGTTAAAGGTCCCTGAACAGTTGGAAATTGTAAAAGAGTAGGCTGATGTTGCTGTCATTACATTTCCCTCATGACACACTGCATGGCGTTACTTGTCTTCAATCAGGTACAGAAAAATATTCATTTGTGGCTTTTTCTCCCTCAAATGAAATGGGTGGAGTATTATTTTAATACTTCATTAACATTATCAATGAAAACCTATTTATTTTATTCTAGGATTCCACAAGTCGAAGATGGATCTCTATTCAAGCGAGAGAGTTTGGTTTCTTACATTCTTCTATAGCTTCTTTAATATTAAACTGTGATCTAGCACCTTATAGAACTGAATGTAAGTACAGGCTTTTTACTTTATATATATATGTATACAAGACAATTAACACAAACGTCCTGAACCTTCCATGCATTCCTATTATCTGCATAGATATATGTAGTATACAATAATTAAATATATTAACTGTTAAAATAGTGCTATATACATCAATTGTAGGGCGATATAGAAACTTTTCTAGATATGTGTAGTATATATATCATCATATTAACGTTTTATCCTATAAAATAGAAGCCTGAGCAAGTCAAGAATAACATCAAAATGGACTTGTTGTACCAAAGCTAAGCTCCACCTACTTTCCTCTAAGAATGTTAAATTATCCATGAATGGTACAATAACAAATTGCTGATAATAGACATTGGTTTTCCACAAACACACATTTTAAGCAAATTATGTCTAAAAAAACACCAGATGAAAAAATGCAATTTATGTTACAAGTGTAATCATCTTCCATAAAAGAGTTTACTCATTATTTTAAACTTATATAATTTTTATTTTCTTCAGCTGTAGGAGATTATCCAGTTCGACAACCACAAACAGTTCAACCGAAAATATTTCTACGAATGTCTTCAGATATGGAGAAATATGTTTATGGTGTTGATAGTGATAGATATTTAAAAGAGGTAGGTGCTTTTTAAATTTGTTATATTGTGATATATTGAAAAAATTAGCAAGTGTTATAAGTTCAAGTTGATTTAAACTCCTTAGCAATAATTTCTGTTGTTTGAGGTTGAGCATAATTTAGATCACCTAAGGCCATACAAAATAAAAAGTCTGTTTAACAGGCCTTTTTATTCAAAAATCGGGGCAATAGGGCCAATTTATTATACAAAATGAAGTCTATTTGAGCTCTTTAATTGAAGGACAAAGGAGAAAACTGACAAACCTAATAATAACGGTAAGTCAAAAGTTGACAAGACAACAAATCAATTGTAAAGACATCAAATGAATCTAATAGCATTTCTGAATAATCATGCATAATGAAATAATTGCTCTGGAAATAATGCTTCAAATTTATTTTATTTACAGGTTATTCAAGCTGTGAAAGAATTACCATCAGTTAATCTTCAGCCTATATTTGATATGTTATTATATTGTGCGTTTTGTAATTCTAAATTTAGTTTATTGGTTATTAAACATCTAGCTGTAAGTAGACCTTTATTTTATCATGATATTTTAAATCTGAACTTTATCTTTATAAGTACGATACAGAGTCAACTAAAATACAAGGATAAATCAAGTGCTAAACAATATCTTACATGTATGTTATATAGAGTCATATATTACCATTAGAGCCGAATTTTCTTGTTGAAGTACTAATAAAAATCTGTTGATCAAAATTTCATCTAAATCATGGTAAAATCAACAGTAAAAGTTGCATAGTGAAAACATAAACAGCAAGCATGGTCTCCTTCATGTGACGCCAGCCATTACTACAGAACAAGACTATTCTTTGAATTTTTAAAGCAAATATATTAGTTGAAAATATTCAGGTTTTGAAGATGTATTATATTCAATTTTCAGCTTCATTATATGAATTCACCATCCAATGAATTAAAACCAATATTTGCTCTGCTGAATGAACTGTTGGTAAGCTATTTATTATTGTTCTGTGCAATAAATTATCTCCCAAATGTTTTTTATGGAAATTTTATGGGTTTTTTTTACGGGTAAAATGATCTCATGAGAGAAACTATCATCCAGCCCCTTACACCATCATCCAGCCCCTTACACATCATCCAGTCCCTTACACTCACATCCAGCCCCTTAACCAACAGCAAGCCCTTATACTGAAAGCATGCCCTTAAACTGACATCTAATGGCTTTAACTGACATCCAGCCCCTTACATTGATATCCAGTACTTTACATTAATATCCAGCCCCTTCCACTGACATCCAGCCCCTTCCACTGACATCCAGCCCCTTCCATCCAGCCCCTTCCACTGACATCCAGCCCCTTTCACCACTTAGATCATAAAATTTATTTTGAAAATGATAAAATAATATTGTTTTATAGAGCATGGAAGATCCTCTCCAACTCTCAAGATTAAAATGGGTGATAGATGGTTGTGTAGATGATAGAGAAATCAAATATGAAGGCTTGATATGTAAGTGTATTTTTGTATTGCTACCAAATGCATGTATTGTTTATTTAATCTTGTATCATATAATACTCAGCCCTATAGATGTATTGTTTATTTTATCATGTATCATATAGTACTCAGTCCTATAGATGTATTGTTTATTTTATCATGTATCATATAGTACTCAGCCCTATAGATGTATTGTTTATTTTACAGCTGTTATAAGATTAAATCATGTATCTGATAGTATTTGCTCCTATGGATGTATTGTTTACTTTACAGCTGTTATAAGATTAAATCATGTATCTAATAGTATTTGCTCCTATGGATGTATTGTTTATTTTACAGCTGTTATAAGATTAAATCATGTATCGGATAGTATTCGCTCCTATGGATGTATTGTTTATTTTACAGCTGTTATAAGATTAAATCATGTATGGGATAGTATTCGCTCCTATGGATGTATTGTTTATTTTACAGCTCTTATAAGATTAAATCATGTATCAGATAGTATTCGCTCCTATAGATGTATTGTTTAGTTTACAGCTGTTATAAGATTAAATCACGTATCTGATAGTATTCGCTCCTATGGATGTATTGTTTATTTTACAGCTGTTATAAGATTAAATCATGTATCAGATAGTATTTGCTCCTATAGATGTATTGTTTATTTTACAGCTGTTATAAGATTAAATCATGTATCGGATAGTATTCGCTCCTATAGATGTATTGTTTATTTTACAGCTGTTATAAGATTAAATCATGTATCAGATAGTATTCGCTCCTATAGATGTATAAAGTTTTTAGTCAGCTTTACAACAGAATGTACAGTAGCTAAAGATTATTTATTACAAACACCAAGTAAATGGCAGTGGGCTGTTAACTGGCTAAAGAAAAAGGTATAGTAAATTTTTTTTTTATAACAGCCGTTTTTTTTTTTGTATATCTTCAGATAAAGATATAAATTATGTAATAGAACTTAGTTGTTGACTCTGTTTCATCTGAATATATTTCAGTGTATCTTGTTATATGTGCATCCACCTTTTTCTCAGCCTCTGGTTCACATGAAATTCTGTCTGGTATTAAGATTCTTATCTGAATATTACTGATAATACATTTAGGTAGAATATTTGTAACTGTGTTGATTGTATTTCAATGTGATATATCTCCATTGTTTTAATCTATTGCCTTTTTAACCATTTCAATAAATGATATATGTTTATATAGATGAGTGAACACTATTGGAGTAGCACTACCTCAGCTAATATGTCTAATGAAGATACCAATAGAAAATCATTTCAACGTACCAAAAGTGCTCAGGTAATTATACTAGTAATATTTCATATTTACAATGTACTCTTTTAAAACTGTGTCAAATTTCCCTCAATCTAGGTAATTGAAATGCAGTTAAGAAAGACTTTTTAAAGAAACACAATTTTCAAGCTAAACAATTTTGGGTTTGACCAGGTGTTTGTTTTGAAAAATGTCCTACCAATCAAGCCCCTGGGTTCTGTTTTTCTTACAATACAATGAGGATAATGCAAAAATAACCTTCTATTTTTTAGTACACTCTTCAAGAAGCTACTGCTTTATTAACAGAAATGGAAGCTCATGAGTTGAATACCAGTGATATCAATATGCAAACCACAGTTGATGATATCGATGCTGCTTCTACTAGCAAGGTAGAATCAGATGAAATTTCCATATCAGAAGAGTCCAAACCCAAATCTTAAAGTGTGGTCTTGAAATTTTGTATTGCTCCTGTTTGTGAATGCTGCTGAATTTTTGAATACAGTAAAGAATATTTCAGTAGTGTTTAGGGTAATATTATCTGTCATCAGTAGAAAAGCATGTAAAATACTGAAAGGTGTATATTGAGTTTGACACATTTAACTTCCTGAAAACATTATCACATTTTTTGGTATTCAAAAATTTGTTGTAATCCGTCAAATGTGATTAAGATTTTTAAAAAACTAATGAAAAGAAATTAAATTGTAAAAGTGTAATACACTGCCAAATTGTATAATGTGCCTAAAACATCTGATATTTTTTTTTTAACTGGAATATGAATCAATTTTTTGGTCCAATTTTGACTATCTGCATTTTTTCTCAAACAAATTTCCTCATATACATGCACACCAGGAGGAAAGGCATATTTCAATAACTGTACATAAGTGTTGTCATTCAATTTCATTTGTACATTTTTTCATTGTGCACAAAAGAAGTATTATGCAAAATGCCTCAGGACTTTTTCAACATGTCCATAATATGATTGTGTACAGTTTTTGTACTGAAATAGAAATATGGAATACATTGGAAAAAATAAAAGTTCATTTGACAGACAAAATATAAACTTTTTTAATTTCTTGTATCTGAATATACTGCAACTACATTTAAACTGAATTAAAGTAAATTAAAAGGGATATTTAAGGGCACATAAATATGAAAGTGTCCCACATTTGTGCCTCACAGAACATAAAATGATGCTGAACACCTCACATAACTCAAGTCTCACATAATTACATTTAGTTTAACATAATTAAGATGAGTCTCACATAAAGTGAGTCTCAAATCACTTCTTTTAGTCTCGCAAAACTTTTCAAATTACTTTTTTGAGACTCACATAATCGAGTTAAGTCTCACATAATTTATTTGAGTCTCAGATAATGAGTCTGTTGAGAGTTTGACATAAGTTGAGCATCCTATTTAACTTTTGATCATTATTATTTACTTGAGTTTTTATGTGCCAAAATATGAAATTTGTCAGACACCCTACTAAATTCTCAAAAGAATAAATTTACTCTGAGCTAGTTGTTATATTGAGCGTGAAAATTTTATTGACTTTGTCCTAAATTAGTTACTGTATACTGATAATAGCAACTCAAATATTATTGTAAATTATGTATAAATGTATTTAAACATCACATAGGCGGTAATTCAAAAACACATAGAGTACTATTTTGTATATATAAACTTGTATCTTTTGTATATTTTGAGTTTATTTTTTATCAATTTTTCTAAAACTTAGATGTTGTGTTTCAAGTAAGGTTTTGTTATATTTCATAATTCAAATTTCGGGGCCTTGGATGTAAATCTCTTTATTTTAAAGCACAGTATATGGTCACATTCACATTAGACGGATATTTTTATTTTTAATTTTACTATGCCTGTTAACCTGTAACTTTGGGACTTTGTCCATATTCAACATTTCACTCTAGTTATGGGTCAATTTATTAAAATATGCTATATGTAAAACTCTCTCATTAGGAACATATATTTACTTTTATGTATAGGCAAGGCAGTGGGTGATTCACCAGCTATATTTTTAGTTATAAACACCATAATCGGAAAGAAGTTTCTACAAAGAAATTGATTTAGAAAGTTATACAATGGATGTTATAGAATTGTTATGAAACAATTAAAATACTTCTATTTATAGTAAATAAAAGAATGCAATTAGCTATGTTTTTTTAAACCTGTATATTTGTGTTTAATGGGAAAAAATTTGTCAAAGAGAAATCTACATTATAATTCTGATATTGAAGTTCTTGTGATTCAAAAGTAGAAATAGAATTCTATATTGTATTAGATTCCAAACTTGTATAGGCTATTTGTATTTTGAGTTTGATTTAAAGAGGCAGTATGCTAAATTTCATTATTAAAAACGAAGTAAATATATATACCTGAAAGATCTCTAAAATATTCTATTTACATTTTTTTTTTTTTTTTAAAAAAAGGGTTAATTAAATATTGAGCATACTTATTGTTAATTAAACAGTTTGACCTAGTTTTGGTGTTTTTCAAACTATGAAAAAACAGAATCCCCTTTTTAAGAAATTGTAAATTCAAAAAGTGTTTTGTATAGGTTAGTTTTATATGTGTAGATTAATATAAAAGCTCTATTTAGTTAATGTACAGTACAGAATAGTAGAGATAAAAGTGCAAGTGTCTTCAAAAAACTATCACATGACATTGATTCATCCATTCTTTTTATTTATTTAAAAGATTGTTGAATACAATGAACTCAAGGTTGTACATGAAAGGGGTTTTCTGAAAAAATGTATGTGTATCAGGGACACTGATAGCATCATTCCAATTTCAATCATTGGTTCCTGCAATTCCACAAGAAAAGGGTTTGATGAGGATACTAATCGCACAATATGCTTTATCACATAAGGCCCTTCGCGTCTTCAAATACTTAGTTTAGTCAAATTGCAGGAACTACCAACATCTGATTGAAAATTGGAATGGTGTAAATTGATGGTATCAGCGTCCCTGATACACATAAAAATGCTAGAAAACTAACAATGCCTTTTAAAAGTGCACAGAGAGTAAATGTATGTAATTTTTTTAAACTGAGCTCCTCTTGTGTTGGTTGATGCATGCTCTCTCTTCTAAACCAAGGGATGCTTCTCTATCACTGGGTTTGTATAACTACTATTTGTCAATTCTATACAACCTATTGAACCAAATCAACTTAGACTTAGGAATTTGCACTTTATATTATCTCTGCTTTAAGTGTAAATACTTACATTCAAACCGATAGAGTTCAATTTCAGCTATCTGTATTACTTTTAAAATTTAAAATTGGACATCCCATTCTCTTGTTATTCATCAAAAAGTTACTGGTTCAGAGTCTGAAGTTAAGACAGAAGCCTTGACTCTCTAGCAAATCCCAAGGGATACAATCATATGCATATAGCTGAAACTGAACTCTTATCAGGTTGAATGATAAATAATGTATTTACACGAATGTATCCCTTTATTATATATATATTTTGTTTTTATAATGTATTGTTATTGCTCTCTGTTTATTCTGTATGATATTTTTGTTGATTTTTGTTATTATTCTATATGCAAAGCAGTTTATATTATTTTCATCCAATGACAAAATGTGTAGACTATCATAATGAATTGACACGTATATTACCAGTCTTCTCTTTAGGCCATTGCTTCTATTTATTTTTAAAAATACATTAATTGCATCTTAATTGTGGTTAAGTTGTGAGGACAAGTCTTCTATTATGAATATAAATTTATTTGAAATCAAATGGGGAAAATAAAATTGATGGTGATTTATTTAAGTAATATCTATTAGATTTGTTTGTAGAATATTTGTTTATGTGGAAGTTTTAAAATAGAATGTGTTGATAGAAATATAGTTATTATATAACTGTATGATGGTATATGCAAAACATAAAATTTGTCACAATTTGCAATTATTGTACATTAGAAATTATACACAATGTAATTAATTCAGGTTCATCAAATACTTTCTTGAAAATCTATTTGTACTCTAAAATTGTTTTAAATTTTCTCGAATTCTTGTTAATAAAACTGCTATTGCTATATATGTGTTATTGTCTTTTATATTTAAAGGTGTGATTAAGCAGCTGATAAAGCTAAATTTTAACCATTCATATCACATTTAAGTCTAGCATCTGGTTCTAGTACAATTGAATACATATACCATGGAAGTATAGACTATTTGTGATATCAATTCCAATTGATGGAGGGTATCCACCACGATAGTGAAATATGTTAATTAAAATCAAAATACATTAAGTTTCTCACTTTTTATTGACATCAGATCTCTAGAATTTATATCAATCATGTTGAATGATTTGCAAAAATCTTTCATTTTTTGATAATTACTTAAAGCTAATTAATAATAATAATAATAATTAATTTTGTACAGACATGCTGAAACAAGTTATGAACTTAACAAAAATACATAAAACACAAAAAAATTAATATTAATTCAACAATGAACATTATTTCAATCATTTGGGCTTGCAATCATATTGTTATTCTAGCTTAAATCAAATATGAAAAAACATGTAAGGTTTCAAAGCTATTTCATAGTTTAATGACGAAAATGTTATTGAAAATTTCATTTACTTGAGTTTTAAATTTTACAATCAAAGAGTCTTTGTGTCGAGGTAGAATACATGACATCAGACAAAAATATAATTTTTGAACAATGTCACTTATCTTACAGAGAATTTCCCTATCTTTAAGTGTCCATTATATTGCATCATAAGTCATCTGAATGGGGACTATTTGACCATTCCAAAACTTATACTGTTACAAAATCTGAACACCGTAGGGACAGTTTTACAGGACGATATTGGACTGTAGTTATGATGCAGATGAGAATATTTGGCAAGACTTCACACAAACTTATAAACAAAAAATATCAAAGGTAATTAATTTAAAAATACTAACAAAGTCAGTTTGTAACTAAAAATTCTGAATTGAACATTTGTACAACTATTTCTGAATACTGGTTGCAAAATAGGAATTAGATTTCTTATATGTTAAATTCAATAATCTTTTGCCAAATATTGGCAAGATTTATCAAAGTGGGCCCCCAATTCCTGTAAAAATCTTGCAGTGTATTAGTGTGGTATTTAACATTGATAAATAACACACAACACAAATTGATTATTGATATCTTGAGAAACAGAGCTAGAATTCCTATGAAATGCAACCAATTCAAATTAATCAAAAAAACCAAGAGTTAGAGAATGTCTTTTCAGCAGATGTTCTAAATTTCAAGGTAAATAAAATAGAAAATATGATATTAAGTGAATGAATCATTGAAGGTATTTTAATCGTGTCAATATTTTTTTATGAATTATAATTAAAACATACCAAGTTTAAATAATAAACAACAGCACTACCTTCAAAACATCTTCTACATTTGTACTAGCAAATAAAACACAGCATCATAGGATAGTAGACACAGGGATACCATATGACACCATCATTCTATACATTTTATTCACAACATTGGGAAACTGGACAATTATGCTTTTCTGAAAAGTTTTTATACAGCTTTCATTCATTCTAAAAATCCACCAAATTTACAGTTAATTTGAATTAGTTCCAAATTATTCAATCCAATTTTATAAACCAATTTTATAAACCAATTTTATAATCCAATTTTATAAACCAATTTTATAATCCAATTTTATAAACCAATTTTATAAACCAATTTTATAAACCAATTTTATAAACCAATTTTATAATCCAATTTTATAATCCAATTTTATAAACCAATTTTCGAATTCTTAACAAAAGTTTCATCAATTTCTAGATTGCATTTATACACTTGTGTGTTACTTAGTCAACTTCAGGTCTCATTTGAATAATAAATGCAAATTTATTCAAAAAAAAACAAACCAAATTTTCAATGACAGTTTGTTAATAATTTAAAATAAATATTAAGATTGTATCCATACAAACACACATACATTCCACAACTCACATAAAGACATGAAAATGATAATAGTTTGAAAAAAAAAAAAACTGTTATTTACACTTGAAATTGCTTTGAAGATCTTTCCCAGTTTAAAAAACATGGTGTTTAAACAGTGCCTGTGATGAAGTGATAAAATGCACTTATATTAGTTTCCAAATTACAAATTGATAATATAATACAAAGATTTCAAATAGCTTAGTTAAAATTTGGGGAAAGAACACATTAAAAACTTGAGTTACAATGTTATAGAAGGGAGATAAAGAGGTGTTGTTTTTTTTTTTTTATTTTAAAATGAATAGTGATGATAGATTAAGTTTCATTGAGCAATATCAGTGATTAAAATACACTTTAAACATACTATTCCTAAACTTTCAATCATTATGTTAGACCGTCTTTCTGTTCTAAACCATTTCTTATTTCATAACAGCGCCATTAAACAACATAGACAAACTCTTTTTGAATCAAAAACAATTAACAATCAAATACTTGGCACACAATAACTAGCAAAATGTCTGTATCCAATGTAAACAATCCAAAAAAATGACTGTTCCATTGTCCATCATTTCTGTTTTGTGCATCAACTGAGTGAAACAATAGAAAACCACTGAACTGTCTGATATTTAAGGAAGATTCCATGCATGATGATGATTCCAAATTAGTACAAATGTGGCTATCTCAAAAATCGGCAAATTCTTTAGCACACTTCTCTGTTGAGGATATGCGAAGTGCCTCTTCTTCATAATCATCAAAATTACTTGTATCTCCAGCACCTTTATGTTTGGGTACAAATGGAGCTTCAACCTGCGAATACAAATGTACATTGACATTTAACATTTAAGAACAAACTTAGGTTCTTGCAGATACTTTTTATTAATTGGTTACTGATCAAACATCTTGGCCTTGATCTGTCCCAGAATATCAGAGCCCAATTATAACCCAGTCAAATGAGCAAAGAAAGAAACAAACAAAACAAATATATTTTACAAGGATAACAACTTAGGTTCACAAAGGATCCTTTCTACTAGCTGGTCCATGGCCAAACTCTTGGCATAATCCTGGATTATCAGTATCCATTTACAGCTGGTTTGACTGGTTGACATATTTAAGGTCATCAGACTTTCACCACAGACCAAGTTTAGAACCCACAGATTCCATTTGTTCAACCTATCCAAGCAAATGAAGCAGAGGAACCAAACATTAGATTTCCTTTCTGGAAAAAGCTATAGATACTTGTTATATCAGTAACCAGGCTTCCAAGTACTCACCTTTCTTTGATAGATAGCAATCCAATCAGTACTATTAAACCATCTATGTTGTTTAATATCATTGACACCATTACGTAAATTACCAAATCTCTTAGTTAAATCTACTTGTAGTAAGTTACGTAATAAATCTTTTAAATCACTACTAAAGTGAGATGGGAAACGCACCTGAAATTACAAATAAAATGAGAGTAAAACACCTACTAATCTGTTTCTAATTGACCAATGGTCAAGGGGCACCATTATGCATTGAGGGAAATTGTTGCTGGATATTAGGTTCCTTTTAAAGAGACACTAGTTTGTAGATTACAGGGCTTAGTTTATTGATCAGTACAAAAAACGTTTGCCTTCTTTTATTGATGGGTAAAATTAGGTTTAAAAATTTGAATATCCATTTATGCTTGACCTTCAAAACTAGTGTCTTAATAGTGTGTCAATCCAGTTGTATGAAAATCAAGATTAATAAACATTGAATTACTGAGACCGCACAGCTAAAATGTGATATCAATAAGTACATGTTTAGACTTCTAATACAGAGATTAACAAGAAATTATTCACATAAGCTTATCAGTTTGTTGCAGTTTATATTATCTTCTATATAACATTTTAACAATTTTTTTTGTAAAGTCAGTACCATTTTAGTATTAGTATTTTTCAGTGGGCCCTGACACAAGCCAAAAATTTCCAATCAAAATTAAATTTTAAACACTTATTTTTGCACATGCTATAAATTTTTATCATAAGATATATTACAAATAGAAGCCTTTTCTGGAATCTCTTATTAAAAGGTTGAATTACTACTAATAGAGCCACAATTGTGAACTGGGGTAGCCTGCCAACATATTATTAGTACTATGTCCATATACATAATAGCACAATGATTATATTCTAGGTACCAATTAACTATATATTGTTAGTGTGATCAATTAATACAGCTGTACCAATAACTTATTACCTATGACTTTTTGAACCTTTTCAATTATACTCATTATACAAGTCATTTGGTTAACGAAAATCAATAGAATTTACCCAAGGAAAACCCTGATTTTAATATTGGCTCAACCAATTCAAATCAAATCGTTCAATTTTATCAAAACTAAGAGAGAAATATCTTTAATGTAATTTCACAAAATTAGCAGCCCAGCCGTTTTCAACTTAATTTCAGTCACTTTCATTTAGCTTTTTAAATTTCATTAATGAATGAACAATACTGTTATCTCTCAAAAGAAATCAATAATAATGAGTTCAATGCTAAAACGTAGGTGGATAAACATTGAATTATCAATACTTTATATACTATGGACTTTTACACAGAAGTGACGTATCAAAATCTAATCAAATCACTATGTAGGCAGATGGGGTTTTAATATTTAATCATATTTTGTGACTCTCTGATAAATTGTTTGGACATTAGATTAATCCTACCATGATGCTTTCTAATGTTTAGATAGTAAGTTTATTTATAGAAAAATATTATGGTTGTCTTGTGTGATGGTTCTTGATGAAATCAGTTCAGTGGCCTTCATCATATAGCTAATAGCTTAGTTTCTTGTAAACTAAAATGGTATCGATCCATAGCAGATTTCAGCAGATGACATTTTGTTTGGCATTTTAAAGATTTCTTAGTTTCATTTGAATTGCATTATACATGCAACTTAACAGTATTACAAAATTTCATGGTCATGTTTCATAATGGTATACCAGCAACACACTTACCTTTCCGGACACAATTTTTTCATAAATCTGAATAGGTTGATCAGCGAAAAATGGAGGATAACCAGCTGCCATTTCATAGATCAAAACACCTAATGCCCACCAATCTACTGCTTTATTATAACCCTAGAAAATAAATACATCTAGATTAGTTTACTGTTAACTTAGATAGATATTGTTGTCTACAAGGACATTACTTGTTTACAATGTCAAGCTATTGTGAACTTCGTCTTATATCTTGACTACAAGAGGAACTATTCCTGAAAGTTTGTAGATGCAAATTGCTGAATTTGATAGTACTATGTAGAAAAATGCTTACCTTGCTGAGAATAATTTCAGGAGCGAGATATTCTGGTGTTCCACATAAAGTCCATGTTCTACCTTTAACACGCTTTGCAAAACCGAAATCAGTTACCTATATAAAATTAATTAATTCAATATAAATATTCATCTATTGTCACTATTCATATGATAAAGTAATTTTCATTCAGGAAGTTCAAATAAAATAATGATGATAAAGGATGAAATATGATTTTGACAAAAAGGGCAAATCAAATAGACATGGCAATTTCCTCTCCATAGTATCTTAATATATATATGCAAATTAAATAATGACAAATTTTCTAAATGAATACATTAAATAAACAATAACTGCACTGTAGATTTTTCGAAATCAACGCCAAGTTGACAAACTAAATCAAAGAGGGAAATCAGGTGATCTGCAAGAGTGATAATGCCCTATTTCATAAGCAACTTGTGCCACAGTACTTATATAGTAGAGCACAATGGTATAACAGTGTTATTTTAAAGATGTTGAAAGATGAATAATGAAATAATGAAATATAACATAAATAATGAAAAATGTATTTTATCTATACCATTTATTTATTCAAATTTGAATAATTCAGAAGAGGTAATTAGAAAGCATTGTAAAAATGAAATTGTGACCAACACAAAATAGAAACATTAACTGCATAAACTTTCATAAAAAAAAACAGAATTAAAAAATCTTTGATCTGAAATCATGGCGCTGATATGGTAAGGAGTGGATTGTATTGGTACCAAAACACTATAGGTAAGGTAATAAACAATAGGGATAGAGTCAAACGGCAAACAATTCATAATTTTTTTTTATTCTAACAATGGACTATATCTAAATATATTTCATCCATAAGAGAATAACTGAAATATTCAATTTAAGAGCAATCTTATTAGTGTAGAATACAAGGAAGTCATATTGTCCAGTGAAGTCAAGGAGTTCAATTCTCTCTAAGACAATTGATGACACTTACACAAAGACAGAAGTCATACACCCCTAACAACTACTAATTTTTACAATAATCCAACAAAGTCATGCTGTTATTTCTTCAATTAGAAAAACAGTCTGCAAACAAAACATCCCTACAGACTGATATTCTATATAATTCAAGAGACAGAAAGTCTATAGATACAGTAATTAGACATTTGTCATGAAGAATCCATACAATTTCAACCTACAATAATTAGAATTTAATATCCCCCAGGGACAACAGTTATAAATCACATTACAGACAATACTTGTTTCATGGTTTCAAAACTTAAACTTTTTACATTGGTAATTACTGTACAGTATTACTTGTACAGACTTCATTAAATTATAATGTACAGACTATCACAGAGACGATGATAACAAAATCTCACTGAAAGGCCATAAGTAAACTGTACATGGAATCAGGCCTGTAGCTGAGGGGCAATCAACCAATTCCATTACTGCAGGTAAACAATATACACCATTGCACCTCCAGGTATATTACCCCTCTGAACAATCAAGTCTAGCTATAAGACTGCATGGAACTATTCTTTATCAAAATTTTGAAGAGTTTCAAAAAGGCTTTTGTTTTGAACATCAAGCTTGTGAAAATGTAAGTATATCATATAACAATAAACAAATATTTCATCATACATGTTCTTAATGTATTAAAAATGACTTGCTAATAAATAATGTATATTGTTATATTATGTTCTATGAGAATATTAGATTAAGGTTGAGTTGACATTTTCTACAGACCTGAACTAATTACATGATAGCTTTAATGTTGTCTTGATACTATGGCTACAAATGAAATGCACTGAAAGATCCACTAGGTCACTAGACATACAACACCATTTTATCACTGGGGAAATTTAACCAGCCTTTAAAACATTTCCCTTGGACGACAGATGCCAATAACTATAGACCATTACAAGACAGCTTGTCTGATTCAAATGATATAAATGACATGATTCCAGCATTTAATGAAATATTTCCTCAAAGTCAATACAATATATTCTAGACTATCACTTTATTAACAACAATTTGTCATGTTGAAGCACATTCACACTTAATGAAGCAGTAAGTATTGAGAATTTGAGATCACTTAAAATAATTAAAAGCTTTTTATCAGTTTTTGTTGTTGTTCAACTCTCTCTTACTTTGTCTTCAAAACCAAAGTAACATCCTTTGACTACAATGCATGGAAGTTGCTATTTTCATTAAGTTTTGACATTGTAGATGGATGATAATACAATTGCGAAATTACAAGTGGGAGTATATCTCAACAAGAAAACAAACCATGATCCGACGACCTTCATAATATCTTGTTCACTTATAAACCCAGAAATAGAACACTTATCTTTGTATCAAAGGCAATCTGTAGTTAGAAAATACAATTGGAAGGGCCATCTGATAAAATTTTTAACAATTGTTGCCCGATTCAGTAATGTTAGTCAGCCATATTGATTTATGTACATTTCTATATCTGTGATGTTACATAATAATCTTGAATATTTAGCACATGAAATATCAAAACTGCGGCTCAACTGAACTAGTGATTTCCCTTGAAATTAATGTCAAAATTTATTGTTTGATAAAGTAGTTACAAAAGTTGAAAGGGTTTTAAATCCTTGTTATAAGGCTTACTATTCCTTTAAATTATGACTGTGCATATCAAACAAATGACTGGAGGAAAGAGTCTAATGATATATGAGATGTTATCATCAAGGTTCTTTTATTATTAATGAGATAGACATATGTATACTATTTATAGCAACAGATCAATATGATGAATATAAATTAGGCCTAGATAGTTCAGATACCATTTATATAAACATATATCTTCTCTGTTATCTTAACAACACCATTAACACTCATAGAGTATACAAAACATTAACACTTAAAACACCTAATTATTTGTTTTTATACTTAATCTTACTATTGTAATAAATATTTGTTATTGACAATATTGGAAATATATTTTATCTCCATTTTATACATTAAAGAATGTCCAGGTTTACATAATGGTTGACAACACCATGTTCTTAACAAAAAACTAGTTGTCAACCACAAGTTCATATTTATTTACCTAGTTGTATTACTAGATCATATTAGAGTTATTGTCAACCACAAGTTCATATTTACACTAGTTGTCAACAACATGTTCATATTTACACTAATTGTCAACAACATGTTCATATTTACACTAGTTGTCAACAACATGTTCATATTTACACTAGTTGTCAACAACATGTTTATATTTACAATGTACAAAATGTTCATGTTTACACTGGTTATCAACATGTTTAAATTCATATAGAGCCAATGAATGAAAATATTCTTTTCAGAATGACTAAAAGCTTGTTTGTCAAGCACTTTAAAAGCTGATGCTTATTGAACAATTTCATTCAAATTACAATCACTAACCTAGATTTTATCAACTACATTTTTTGTTATTTAAATTTAATATCAATGACTCAAATAGGTTTTGAATGGAGGAATTTGTTGCTTTGTATGCAAACAATTTCTACTACTTTTCAGAATCTGGAGAACCCAACATAATCTAATTTTGAATTGTGATATGCATTGCTAAAATGGATCCCCAACTAGCAAATATCTCAAAACCATGTTATCTCTTTAATATACTTTTACTTTCAACTCAACAATAACAATTCCCCAGTTTTCATTTTTAAACTAAAGTCTATTTTGATCTTAAAGCAGACAGGATATTGCTAAATTTTGTAATAGTTTTTCTTTTTCCAGACATATCTAAGATGTCAATGTTGACAAAAAAAATAATCTATTCATATGGGAAAAATAATTTTTTTTATCAAGTTTTCTACTAAAAAATATATTCAATATTTTAACACTTTTTTGTTTTACAAAAATTCCATAGTTTTCAGTTCTATAACAATCTGTATCACATTTTTTATCACAAATTTCAGATCGATGCACCAGAGTAGAGTGAGTAGAGCAAGAAACTGCAATTGTTCTACCAAATTTTCTATTAATATTTTGAATATAACATATTGAATAGTATATATCGACATTTACCTTAAAAATCTGTAATGAAGTTACAAATTGTCTTTTCATTGATACAAATTTCAAGAATGAAAGAAATAAAATCAGTGGATTGAAATTAATTTCAAGGTCTCAGAAAGTATTCATTATTACTAGCTTCTCTACCATCCTACCAATTACTAAGCTTACCAAGGACATTTTGTTTAATTCCATAGTAATGTATCGATATTCCTGATATTCTGTTCATTCACTGGAAGAAGCAAATTACAGACTAGAGTTCATGGAACTATTATTAATGCCATTATAACATAACACTGAATGGTAAAATTCCAATATCCAATTTAACCATTCAAAATACTCAAGTTTTTTTTTTATTCATATTACATGTGGGAGTTAAATTATGTGACCGATTCAAAGAACGAAGATGTACTTCAAGAAGACAGGAAGAATGAACAAGTTAGCTTTAACTGACAATTGTGTGAGATTTTTTTGATCTACCGTCTTAGTATCATTGATTTTTCACCCGGTCTTCCTAGACTATATTACTCATCAATGGAGCTTACTATTGGCAGCTTGCTTCTACAGGGTGATAGAAAATGGAGGCTAATATCTCATATTGGTCTGCACATGACACTACAAATGACAGATATCTTAAAGCTGTGTGCAAATGAAATTAATTCACATACTCTTTATCACTTCCAGTTTATTTTCAACTAACTAAGAATCATCTCCCATTACATGGACTTTTCACATTTTTCTTTCATGCTTTCAAGTGACAGGGTAAAACTGCAAGACCATATTCAATTTGTCAATGAAAATTGCAGCTTCACTCAAAGACAAACAATTACAATACAACAATCAGCAGATATGTCAAGTGTCCAGATTGATGCCATTTTGTAACTGTGCAACAAAGATATTTTATAATTATCTGAAATCGTTAAGTGTTTGCAGGAAGCAACTAGATAATAAAACTAGTAAAAGAGAGGATGTAGAAAATCGGTCAAGCCAGCTAGAGGACTAGAAACGGTCTTGACAACCTTAAATCAATCAATATTTCTAGCTACAGTAAATCAAGGTTGAAAATCCCAGCTTACTGTACTGTGGTGTCAGACTATTTTTAGCACATTCTTCGTCATTACGCTATGGACTTATTACATTTGTTCATCTTATATAACTAACAAAGCCAGAGGAAATGGTGCCTTTGCCCTAAGCTCCTGAATAATGGACAGATTTTCAAGTATCTACGTTGCTTTTCAAATCATTAATTACAGTTCTCATTATAAATTTCATAACCCTTTGGGCAGTGTGTCAATATGTTTGGTATAAGGTGTTTATCTAAGAGTACTTTCTCTGTTATCATCCAAACATACAGCCTTCTATCGCCATCATTTTAAACATATCTTAACCCGATATGAAATTATATGACAGCATTGGGTACTTTCTTTCAAAACATACATGAGTAGTTATCTTAGCCTAACATTAACCCAAATTTATCCTAAGAAATTTGTGGATTCCTTATGTTTTTAACCATGTTGCTTTTACTGTTAAAATATGACTACAAATTATTATCTCTAGAAAACTGTTCAAACATAAGCAAGTCTAGCAGCTGTCAAAAAGCGGAAAGCATAAATGTCAATATTTTATGAACTTCATGTTTAAGTGTTTATAGATGACATCAAGGTACTGAAATTGGATGATAATAGCCAAACCACAACCGCATCCTTCCACATTCTTATTCATTTTCCTGCTCCCAAAAGCCATTCAGCATACAGGAATTTAAACTAAGAGGCTTGTCCCTTAAGGAACATTATGAGTCCACCACCACATGACATTGATCAGATACAAGTTCTTAAAGTTAAGCTGCAGCCCATCGGACACTTTGTAACGATCTAATCTTAGCTTAATTCTCACTGAACATATGACAAGAATGAACATTGAACATTCTTCATGAACGTTCTCAGAATGTTTTCAGAAGAACAGATCAAGTCTTTCTGCCATTTCATCATACCTCATTGTGAGAAAATTGAAAATTTGTTATTGAATTCTACTAGCAACAAACACACAATTTTATTAGTTATTGGTAAGGATTACATATGTTGGTTATATCTTGATATATTTGGCTAGGTAACCACAGGGCTCTCAAAAGTCATTATGGAAACAAAAAGATTTTTGGAAAAATCATGTTAATTGGTATACTTGGCTGAGAAACAGGAAAGAGAGAATTTGATTACCATAGTGGTCTAATCATTTTGACCTAATAGTTACCTAAATCACTTCAAGATAAAAAGATGAGAAAATCATACCAATATATGGCTCAATTTGAGCTCTATCAGCTAATTCAGAAACTATGTGCTCCTTTCTGATAATTCGAATTTGAATTTTTCAAAAACAAGTCAGAAGAAAATATTGTTGAAACTTTTGAAAGCCCAATAACCACTGTTGGTACAGCAAAAGACAAACACTCATAGCTATAGATATATGGTTGTACGACAAATTAGGACATTACCCAGACTAGGCTTTCAGCTAGCAGAAGTTACATTAAACCCATGATCAAAGTGTATACCTTTAAATAACCTAGCGAATCTAACAGTAGATTCTCAGGTTTTAAATCTCGATACATTATATCCAAATGATGTAGGTACTCTAGCACCAAAACAATTTGAGAACCGTAAAACCTTGAGTGTTGTTCACTGTTGAATAAAAGGTGTAAGACAACATTACATGACAATGAGACTTCAATGAGAGATTCAAATAAAATGATATTAGGGAGACTAAGCAAGATGTCAAAAATGAACGCAGATTAATTTCCAAGTAGTTCCATTACTTTTAGAATTCTAAAATCTGTAAATTTAGATTTGTTCTCAACAGGACAATTTGGAGCTATAACTGGACATGACTGGCGTAAACAACCAATCAAAAGTCCTTGTTTGAATTTTGAAGAGAAAATCATTCTCAAAATAAAAGTTTTTATAAAAAACTTTATCAAACAAGTGAGTAACTTGTACTTTTGACACTAAAACAGCAGGCCAAAACCAGTTTGAGGCGCCTTTTTTCAACTTTTTATGTTCACATTTGAATTCTTGCCCAAATCTCTCTCATATCTCTAGTTCACTTACTTTAATATAACCCTGAGTATCAAAAAGTATATTTTCTGGTTTTAGATCTCTGTACACTAGGTCCAAAGAGTGAAGATACTCAAAAGTCAGAACAATTTGCGCTGCATAGAACCGGGAATGGGGCTCGCTGAAGCAGAAGCATTGAAAAGATGATTAAATATATGGTAATACATTGCGTCTTGTGTCGGTGATCTTTTTTCTTCAAAGTATGATTTGTAGATTTTGGAAACTGTGTTGTGCAAAATTTATTTAAATTTTTCGATTTGATTCTCCAAGTTTCTGAATATTTATTATATATTCAGAAACTTGGAGGTATCATAACTTGAAGATCCAAGATTTAAGATTAAGAAACAAAATGTTTTGAAAAAAAAATTAGAAAACATTCTAACAGGAAACAACAATAAACAAATGAAAAGAAAATTTCAAATTTCAAATTTCAAAACGTCAACAGTTTTGACTTACTAAAAGATAGCCAGAATTATCTATCAGAATATTTTCAGGCTTCAAATCTCGATAATAAATATTAAGATTATGTAAATATTCAAATGCCAATGTAATTTGAGCTGCATAAAATCGGCTATGGCTTTCACTACAAGAAGCAAAAGATAAAACTAAATCAGCTAGAGAGAAAAATCATGCACTATCTAATGAAGTTAGTAGCTTAAAAGGATATAGTAATCTAACAAGGTGAATGTGACATAAGATGTGCTTTTTGGTAAGTGACACAGTCAGATGAAATTGAAATCTATCAGCCAAAAATAGAACTTTATTTTTAACCATAACCCTTTTAAGGAATAAAACTTCAGGTCACTTGTGATAAATAACAAAAAAATTAAAATAATCATGTTATTCTGTTGATAAGTTTCAAAAATCGGTACTTATGAAGATTAATGGAAGCATAAATCAATGTTATGGATACCTGCAGAATAATCTACAGACAAATTCCTGGAGTATCTTCCAGAATAGATTCATTAAAGTAAAATATAGAAGCATTAAACAGCAGATGTTGCAGTAATTAAGAGAGTATATTTAGCTGATTATTATTTGTAAATAACTTCTAGTTTGTTGTATGGTTATTCTAGTCAACTGCATTAATTTGTAATCAACTTCTGTTAAAACTATTCTCAATCATTGGCTGCTGTCTTGCATCATTTTTTTACTTGTCTAGCATTCAAAATTTCTTGGCCATGAATCATTAGGTGTCAAATTTCATTCCTCTTTCAAAGTCATAGCAATTTTGTTCAAGAGTTTATTATTCTTGAATGTACCTAAAAGTGAATTTTTCATCCAAAATTGTCCACCATTGAAATTCAAATAAATTTTGTTTGTTATTTTCGAGCATAACCCAAATTTATTGAAAAATAAGGGAACCAGCCATCAGATTTTAAGTGTTAAGGTTAGTGGAATTGAGCGCCCAAGTACAAAAGGATGCAGGAGAAGGTTGTGCACACTCTAGTGATAAGTGCAGAGACAATTAACATAAAACAGAGAGGGAACAGAGATCTAACCAGCCAAAATAACTTTTAGAATAGGAAGTAATTAAGGTGCTACTAAATTCTAAATCACAAAATAAAGCTTTTCAAACATATCTTTAATAAGCTTATATTCATTGTTAAGGCTTTCAGATATTGAAAATCATTTGACGACTGATTATTGTCTACATGCAGAAACTCCAATCTTAAATGTTTCATTTCACATGTTGTCTGAAGGTTACCATTCAACCCCATGATCTTATAAAATTCTTCTTAAGGTCATGTTCGGTCCAGTTTTAACCAATGTGTGCCAAAAGTTATTTTCATTTAAAGTAATCATTGAAAAAACTCCATATAAGGAACTCATTTGAGGATAATTTGATTGGTTTAAATAATTGACCGTGAATAAAAGCTGCTTAACAAGAATGTCAGATCATGAATGACAAATGAAGTAATCCACAAGATAAAACCAAAGGAATTCTATTTCTGAAAGCCTTAGCAAGTAAAATATATTACTGCTAAAAATAGAAAGACTTTTGACAAAGAGCAAAATTTTCATGATCCATTGCATATGTCAGTGATGAACATCCATTCAAATCATAAGCTTGCAAGACAAATGATTATTAAATATATCAAATGCAAGAAATACTAAGATCAAGCCCGGAAATACCACTAACTAATTAGAGGGAATGAATTGTGAAATTAAGCTGTATAAGCTGCTTAAGTGAACATTTCAACGATTATTATTTTTCAAATCTATTTGGGGACAAAATGCACCTTGAAAAAATAATAAATGTATGGATTATGCTATGAAAATAAATTTTGATAACTAATATTTCCAGGCTTGTCTTATTTATATATATATATATATATAAAGGTCGAGACAGGCAAACCTACCTAAACCGGCCTATCCTTCGTAAATGTGAAAACATTTCACCACCAGTGACGAATTCCAATACCATATACAAGTTTGTGTTATCCTGAAAAAAACAACAAAATGACCATTATTGACCATGAATTTTGAAAAGGCTGAAAGAGAGCTGATCTCTCTTAAAACATTATTTCAATATTTGGAAAAACAAACCAAAATTTGCCCAAATGGACTCTTGATGTCCTGGAGCCATTGGTAAAGATTTGATTCTCTAACTTAACAAATAATAAAGTTTGGGTAAAGCAATTGCAGGCATCAAGTTAAAAGATACTTTCAGCAAACATATTAATCCCATATTTCATGTTAAGCCAACTACATAGACACATAAAACAAAAACAATAACACTGTGGCACTAAAGATGAATATAAATCTTTCATTAATTCTGATTTATAAGTCTTAACTATTAAATAATTAATTATCATATTTCATATAAAATATATTTTATTTAAATATTGCCAAATTAACTTCCAGTTCCAGACAGATTTATATACGCAATTACAATAAATAAAAGATTTTATTTCCCTCCCTAACCAATATCTGTAGTAAGCACTTTTTCCATTTTTTTTTGTGGATATTGGATTTAAAGGGAAATCATTTGCCAAAATATCATGTTTTCTTTGTGTTTATCAATTTCTGTTAAAGGACATGTTCGCCATATTTTTGACCAATTGGACCCTAGACTCATAAATGTTCTTTCTTTAGCTAAGATAATGAGTAATAGTGTTCACAGCTTATTGTCGAAATTTTGAGCCTTAAAATCTATGTGTGTCCAGAACTATCTGTGTTACTAAGTTAAAAAGACCACTCGTCTTTTATTGAGACAATACCATATATATAAAACATATATATACAAATAGTAAAAGAAATTCCTAGTTTGAGATATTTTTGGAGGAATAATGCAATTTTTGTACATTTCTAGTAATTCTGATGACAATTTTCAACTTTCAGATATCCAAGACTGAAATCAACCTACGAAAATGACAAACCCATTAATATTCTAGGTTTTTCTATTAAAGTTATTAGGAATTTATCATTTTTATAAAGTTTTTATAAAATACTTTAATATTCAGTTTTAACAATAACATAGATATTTCAAATATACTTGTTACCAGTAAATTGATGAATACTCCCACCTTAAATTATGGTTTAAATTGATTCACCAGATTACAAAATATTACAAGATTATTTCAACAGTTCATTAATTTCGTAGAAAACAAAAGAATAAAGCATATGTAGGCCTGTGGAGAAGATTTCTCAGTAAATTGCACATACTTGAATTGGACAAAAAGGGAAAGTGACCGTGAACTGAAGAAATTAAGTGCAGACAAAATCGAGGTATAAATTACAACAGAAAAACCATTTTGGTAAAAAAAAAAAGAAGCTAAATTACACTTGTTTTGTAAGTTGAATAAAGCAGAAACCTCTCATTATTCTCAATCACGTGCCAAATAAAATAGAAAGTTTTTAAGTATTGGCATTATGAAAGAGTGGTAGGAGCCAAAATGTTGGTAATAAGAGAGTAATGTGAAAGGTAATATGGTCAATGTTCTACAGACATAAAACACACTTTACCACATTATTTAGTTTTATTTCTCCCCTGAGAATGAATGAAAGAGGATTTTTGAGCCACTCTTCACTGTGGCACACTATTTAAGTGCTTCCATTTCCACAAAATATTTGAAGCCTTTTGTCATAAAATTGTTATTAGTTTGTGGTTGAAATATTGCATAGTGCTTTTAAAATCTTGAGTTCACTGGTCTGAGACCAAAAATTTCAAGTTTGCAACAATCTTCATACAACATCTTGGATCACTTACAAACATTACTGTACATAGATAATTGCTTTATTGAAACTCTTCATGCATCACTTTCTATGATCTGATAAATATTAATTCAATTCTAATAATATTTTTTGATTGACTACAGAATGTCTATTTTGGTGTTTTGTTTGGTACAGTTCATAATGTGATTCATGGGTTGGAAAGTAAAAATACATTAAAAGTGAGAAATCTAATTTTTCATCAGATAAAATTTTAAATTCTTTTTGATCTGTTAATAGGACCATCTGTGATAAACATGGAACTTAATAGACTATGACATATGACTTGCAATAAAATAGGGTGTTAACTAATGTTTAATAATTTAGATGACATACCACACTTATTGCTGTGTTAAATCATATTTTGTAAGCGATATGAGAATGGATTAAAAGTAATAGCCGTCTCACACTGGAAAGATGGCCTCACTGAGCTGCTACAGCAACCAAAAATTAGCTCAGAGCCTGTTATGGGACAGTACTGAGGAATCCATTGTCGCCAATAATTGCTGTCAGGATCGACACAAATTGAGAATGTCTTAAGACAAGCGTCAAAACATCTCCATAAAATGAAGTGCACAATGATTTTACTAGAAAAAGCGCCTTGGGAACACAATATGATTGCATATGCCGCAGTAACTGTTGTAAAATATGTATTTTTAACAGCTTTTTTCACGTTTTCTTCAAGTTTTCTTCACAGTCCAGTGTGAGGGGGCTATAAGCAAATATGACATAAAAGATACATACCTTGAAAGAATATTCTAAACGGACAAGAAAAGGAAAATTAATAGCTTGTAAAATCTTCTTTTCATTTAATGTGTGTTCAACTTGTTTTAATTTTACTACCTGAAATGAGCAAAGAAAATATGGCAATGAAGAATGGGTTCAATTAAACTATTTGGGAAATAATAAATTTTATTAGCCTTTGAAAATGGAAAGATTTCAAAAGCACAAGCTAGAAATTCTTTCCCTATTCAGAAGATTTAGCCTGGTAAGTAGGTAAAATATTACACTCTACCCTTCTGAACCAATTCAAATTAAGATTGTCAAATGGGGATATATATTTTTGCCTAATAACAAACATTTTTGACATAGTTTAAGCTACTTGTGAAAATACCGCTTCTTTAATTGGCTATACCGGTACTGTAATCTAACTAATTCTATTCCGAGGCACAAGAAATAAGATCAAATTTTCTGTAGTGAAAAATGATTTGAATTGGGCTTTTAAAATGATCATAAACTGGTATCAAAATCAAAGTCTATACGGCCATGAAAAAAATCTTATGGGAGAAAAAATTTTAAGTTAATTTCCTAAAATTTTATGTCTGAACATTAAAGAAAGTATGTTAAGAAAATATAATTTCCTGTGATATTTGAAGATGATTATTTAGAATGAGATGACTTTACATCACCTAGACTGATTAAACAAGTCCCTACAGGATGTCGTAAAATGTCAACCTTAATTATACCTTATCATATTTTAGTCTATACGCTTATTATATCACAGCTACTTTGACTGTTCAACTTTTAAACTTTTACAAAAAATAACTTTAAAAATTTTACAAAATATGTCAAGTCTAATCTCAAGGGAAAACTTATATAGTTTGTTTGATATTAAAAACATTTGGAATTGGCTTAACCACTATGGATTGGGAATTCAATACTAATAATTTCTGGAAACAGTTCAAATTCAGCTCTCGTAAGGATAATGTTTAGCTGACTAAGGATACTTAAGCAGAATCAGAGAGAATCAAAGCAAATACATGTCAACTTTTTTTTGTTGAGAAAGAAATAGTAATTGAAACTATTTATGCCAAACTTATATCACTAATTAAACAACCGCAAAATAAAAGATGACTTTGTGTTTATCTCATTTCTGGAAGTGTATTTTGCTCAATCTATTTAGAATTAGATTACAATTTCGTCAATTTGTGATATGCTTCAACTGTAATCTAACCAGTTTTCTAATGCTGTCCAATTCTAATGACCTTATTTTTAACCAATCAAAAAAAAAAAAATTTTGGGATAAGAAAACCCACAATTCATTATTGATATCTAGCAATAAATAAATAAATGCATCTGAATGGAAGAGATATATATGTGTAGTATGTATAAATAATGAACTATCAAGCCTGGTTTTATAAAGACAATAATAAAGTCAGGTGATATTGTTTTACAATCAATATTGTGACTATAAGCTAGATGTAATAAAACCCTTAACCAGGTCATTAATCTACTATTACAATAGTACAGAAACTATTTTGCATTAACTTCCACCTACCTAACTTTCAATGAAAAATTTTTGCAAGAAATTGACAACCTTTTAGTTTTTCATTCATTAAAGATTTCTTTTTGCCTTCAGACTTTCTTTCCGACATAACAAGACACAAATGGAGTATAATATAATTCACTTGAAATATTTTCTGGTTATTTGCCAGCTAATATCTGTCAAAATACGTCTCAAAGTCAAAAATTTCCGACAGACTTAACCAAATGATCTGTCACTCCAGTTTTACCCTAGTATTTAATAAAACTTAATGACCACCCTGGGATGGACACAGGTGTAAGACAATATAGTGTGTAGACAGTTGGGACAAATGAAGCCAACTAATAAATAGATAATATCAATCAACCCAGTTATCACAAAACTATTGTCTTCACACATTCAATGGTCTATCAAAATTTGTTGATTTCTTTTTTCACCTAAAAAATCTGTACCTAATATTAGAAAGATTTGAAGTTTATAAAAAATATAATATTCTCTAATTTGTCATTGATAAAAACACACGTCCGTCTCGGAAATATCAACAAAAAATTTCAATTTTGATTGAAAATTGGAAGCAGGAACCAAAAAAATAGGGTTTCACATTGTTCAGATGAATTGCAACACAATTTCTGTTTAAACAGTAAAACTAATTTTCATAAAAATATATATATTGTGAAATAACATAAATGTGGTTTGACAGATCGAGATGAGAATATCCAAGTATAGTTAGAATCCACATACAGTTCTAGAAAAAATTTCTTATTATTTTTTATCATATTCAAACATTTCTTGAATGAACTTACATCAGCTGCCATAACTAAAGTAACCTTGTTTTGAGAAATCAATGAATAAAAATTCCTGGAATGAATCAAGATGGCAGCTGCAACTTTATAGAATTTCAAACAAATTTACTCATTGACTCGAGGTTCATTGACTAGGATTATATTAGCCTACTAATTCAGGTTTTCTAATGATAAATTGAACGACACAAATAGTTTTTTCAATAACAGGAAATGTAACATCAATGGCCTATTGAAATGATTTTTTACTACCCACACATATAGTAATAACGGATAGTAGGAGTCGAGTTATTAAACAGAAAGGATAGCAATAAAAACATATTTAATATAGTATTTAATTGCAATAAAAACATATATTATTATAGTCATTAAACTACATTCACCATTAACTAAGGAAAGTACACATATAAGTGTTATATAAGTAAGTTCAAGAAAAAAACTTGAAAGTTAGAAAGTTACAAGTTGAATTTACATCAGGTGCTATGGGTTTGAGTCCCCTCAAATGAAGAAAATTCCAAAGCCATGTAAAGCTATGGTACATTATGGTAGTCACAGTCATAGTTTATTGTAAGAGAACATGAATTCAGATTTTAATCTGAAAGGTGACACAGATAGCTGTATTTGAGTTCTATTAGCTAGCATAGACAACATCCTTTCAAGGAATATGATTTTACACGTTCCTGTTCATGATTTCAACAAAAGATATGTATATAAATGTACTTACTTTCTGTTTGTCTAGGATTTTCATAGCAAAAAAATCTTTATTTGCTTTGTGTTGAACTAACATGACTCTACCAAATGAACCAGTACCTAAAGTCTTTATTCTTTCAAAATCATCCAGGCACGCATTGTTCTGAAATATAGAAAGAGAAAATTGTTTTTCAGACATTACTAATTTCATTGAAATAATAAAAATTCTGTCAAGAATATAGCTTGCTTCATCTTGGACAACTACATACCGGTACTTGGGATCTCTTTAAGACTGTGTTGTTATTTCTACTTTTGCAAAGAAAGTAAATGGCTTAATAAAACTTGCAAAAACAATGTAGTCTAGGCGTATTATCCCATCCGTACAACTAGACCCTTTTTTCATTCCAATGTGAGCAGCAGAAGCTGCAGCTTATATCTATCATTTTGATTTAATTCAGGACCACCATCCATAGTTTCTTAATGTGGTTAATTCAAACACCATTTCAAGTTCAGGGCATAAAATAACTCAATATAAATAGCTTGTCTGTATTAAGCTCAGAATTGTTTTCTTGAATTACAAGAAAGAAATGTGAATTGAATATACCTATTCAACATTTCAATAGTTGACCTCCAAAAAGTTGTCAATAGTTTCTATAAATATATTCAACTATTTTTCATTTCAAGCTATCAATAGAACTTGTATTACTTTGCAGTAAGGTGTAAAGTTGCAAATAAACAGGGTTTTGATTTCGCAGGACATTGACCTTGTTTAAAACTGAAAAACATCACATGGTTACTGCCACAGAAGTAATGTCATACATTTTTGAGAATTGACAGTCAATATAAAGCTTAAAATCAATTAAAAGTGTCTAAGCTTAAGTTGTAAGCTTTTTAAGACTTTATGAAATGGTCAAGAAATGACAACCGCTTTAGACTCATGTTAAAAGTTTCAGGTTCATCAATTTGTTTGGTCAAATGCCTATGAAACTTCAGTTTAGAAGTCATGTAAGAGGTAGACGATTTCATAATTTTCAAATGATAAAATGCATTCAGGCCAACATCCCTTCCATTGCACCAAATGACACTCAGTAATTACAGACTATATTTCCAAAGATACCCTTAAATTCGAATCACTGCCCTTGTAGGAGTGATCTGCTAAGTAGAGCAATTAAATAAGGAAACAGGAAATGCAAGTGTGATGCGAGATGTGAAATACACTCAAGAAGAAGTGAGAAATTTTGCAAACCTAGCATTTAGTTACCATAGAAACAGTCAACTATTAGCTGAAGGTAGTGTGATTGATCTAAACACAACAATGTTACATTAGTCTTCGTTAATTTCATTCGGTTTCATTTTTATTTTCATGTGCCGTAAGGTATATTGTGATTAAAAACACTTTTTCACAAAAAAAAGTCTGGCAATATAAATGCCAACTACAAATTGCTTGTAAATGACAGGTTTAATCAATTTTGGTATAAGTCCATCAAATAAGAAGATTTCAACATTTGATGTCAATGTTGTCAACTTTTCATTCTGCTCAAAAGATTAATAGGCTACAACATTTCAAATTTTTAACAGGTTTCACAGCACCGAAAAAATAGCTTTGCCCTTTTTTTTCTAATGTTTGAACTAGGTTTTCTAGTTTTTGAGAATGAATGCTGTCATTTAGTAGATTCTCCAAAGAGTCAATTACTTTCTAATACAAACATCATTAGTAACTTAATTCATTCAAAGTTACAAGTTGTAGAATAATGACTGTTCAAAATGATTTTAAACACAGGTCACTTCAAAATATATATTACATCTTGTTAACAAGGCTCGGGTCAACCTTGCAACTTGCAGAAACAGAATTTTCTACAACTGCTATGCTAGCAAATGTCAGCATTTTATATCCAGGAATGCAAAAAAATACAATTAATATTCACCTGGCTCGGATGATCCCATTTTTGTGTAAAATCTTCTTTGGCTTTTGCTAAGAACTCTTTGACTGAAAAGAGAAGAGAAAATTGATTATTTTACAGATAAACAAATGGTAAAAAAAATAGTAAACAGAACTTATCTTGTAGAGATCTGTTTAGAATCAGAATAGATAACTTCAAATATTTAACACTTGAATCATACTGTACTCTAAGCAGGGTATTATGGGGTGAAAGTCGAGAGTGGGTCAACTCTCAAAGCACTGACAAAGCATTGGAATTTTTTCAAATTTGAGTAAAATTCAAACTCACAGCGCTTAATTGCCAAGAAGATGACAATCCTATGTTACCCACTGAGTTATTCCACTGCCACAAAAGACTGTGTTCCAGCGTACAGGGAAGTATTGAATTTAACAAAGGTGGTGTGAGACCTATATATTACTAATTGATTAACATGAAGCTACTGGCAATGGTATAGGAAACAAGAAAACTTCAGTTTAACCCTTTACAGAATAAATGTTCAGTGCAGTTTTTCTTCGTCAATATAAGGGCACTTGGTATTAAAATTATTATAATTCATTGAAAACATCTGAATTTCATCTTCACCTTATATTTTTACTCAGAAACTTGAGTGCAAAGAGTTTAAATCGAAAAACTAGTGCATTAGACGTAATTAAATTGATTCATTTCAAAAGATGAAAACATAAAAAGAAAATTATATGTGATTTCATATTTCATCAATGCAGATGAGCCCATAGTTCAACATCAAAGTCATAAACTGATCAATAGGGAAATCAATCCACATGAGCAACAGATTGAGTGAGTCAACATATTGAATGAATAAAAAAGAATCATTTGAAAGAATCAATTGGTTGGGTATGCATGAATGAGATGTCTTTACTATAAAAATGTCATGGTGGGTATTATAGGATGGGCTTGCAAACTCTACCAGAATATCTGATGAAAATGTGAATATGTTTGTCAACTTACCGCACATCCCTTGTGGATAGATCACATAATATTACTTTGGTGTATTGATCATTATCAAATTTATGTTAAACTAGCTAGCATTCATTGCAAAAATTTTTCTTGTGCATATAAAAGTGACAAATTATTGACTTCAATGTCTAAACTTTATTTTATTTATCTATTTCTATTTTGCTCTACAATGTAATGTAACAAGCACTATTCTAAAGTGAAAATATTGTGTTATTGTATCTGAATAAGCTTATTATTTAAAAAAAAAAGCTTGTAACAGGTAGATCAAAATCAAAATGTGATGGTACATACATACATGTCTGTCTTTTATTAATTTAATCATACATGTAGTAATGATTATATAAAATGTAACACTATTAGACTAATAAGATTATAGACACACATTATCATATAATATTATGTCATCTGTAAATTAAAACCCAGTGAAATTATATGTTTATGTACATATGTCTTAACAGCAATTTAGGCAAAGATTGACAAGTTCATAGTACACCTGCCTTATTATTGAATCAAATGAAAGGACACTAACTAGCTTGCAGTGATGAGACTTGTAATTGTTACTAATTAACCATGTCCTCTTGTCTATCAACATTCGAAGCTGTTAAGCTTATATCTAAAGGTTGTCTTGTCTTTAGACACAGCTTTATGGAACAACAATCACTGATTAAAGTTTTATGCAATGTTTTGAAGTGTTTGCATATAATTTTAACCAATGATTGTTGTTCCATAAAGCTTAACTCACAATTGCTAAATGCCATTTAAAGACCTTGTCTTGTCTTTGACCTTAAATCAAATAGCAACGATTACCCAAACTTTATTCAATAAGAAATGTACTATTTGCAGAATAAAGCAGTAAATCAATAGCGTGTGAAATTGCTTTCGAATTGTTCTGCAAATTCCGATGCAAATTCAATAGATAGAATTGGAATGAGATTTGATATCATAAAGCTCAAGAAATCAATGTTTTCCGCAGTTTTTCCATCGAAAGCCATGACCTGGGTTCAATAGGAATTTTTTTCTCATGTCAAACAATTTTGGGCCTACAAAAGGCTGTCTAAAGAGGTTCCAAAACTAAATGGTTGCCTGTCTGCTACAAAATGACACAATTCTCTCATCATCATCGACAAAGCGACTAGAAATCCAAATCATCTGCAACAGCTTTTGGTCAGAGTGTCTAGACGACCATAAAATAACTTCCTTTTACCTAATGTAAAATGCTATTCTTCCTCTTAAAATTTATGTTTCATATGTAAAGGTTAGAAGCATAATTTGTGGACAGGAGACAGAAAATGACAAGTCAACAACCAATACTCAAGCAAAAAAATTAGGTCAGACAATAAATAATATTAACATGTATAGAATCAGCTGTTGTTTCTATCTTTAGAATATAATAGACATATTTATTTCTATAACAATAAACTGGGGTGGTTACACCAGCTTGGATACAGGAACTAACTAATTGACATCCTGATTCTAGAAATCTTTATGTACCGATACATTATGGTTACTGGTACTAAAATTGTACCAGTGCTTTTATAATATATACCTACATATTCAAGTAATCAGTATGAACAAATCTCATACTTATATCTCATACTTTATCATTTTTTAAAGATTTAAGGCTACCCATATATCATTTTAGTTTCAGGTTATATTCAAAAATGCCATGTCTTACACAAAAACTCTGATTTTTCAATTTCATGTCATTCCACTTTAAGCAATTTCTGGAAAGTGGTTAAACACAGATATTTCGGACATAAACAATCAAAAATCATTATCACAATATCATTGAGTGCAAGTTAGATAAGAAATATCAATAGTTTTAAACCAAGTAGTATCATTTTCTGTCGTTATCTTTGTTTTTATAACGAATAACGGTAAATATTTTAATACAGTGTTGTACTGTGTAACATAAATGGTAATAAGATTACTGAACTGGATGTTCGAGACAATAAATTATACAGATGCTATAGCAAGACTCGTCTAAATATGCCAACAGAAAACTTACCATTTTCGGCAGGGTCACCTTTTTTGGCCGTCGCCGCGTTTCCCATGCCGAGAAAAATAAATATTTCACTTGTTGCAATAAAAAAATAGTCCAATTTATAGTCCAAAAACGAATTAAAAACTGGTAAATTTCCGAGGTTTCGTCTGTTACAGACCAGATAGCTTATAAGCCATTCCAACGTATTCGTACACACTTATCGATAAAATGTTTCTGTTATCTGACAATATTTCACTATATTAACACTACAAACATACGTATTATATACGTCAATATCTTTAACAGTTTATCTAAAAGAAAATAAAACCCCGACAACGATGGATTGTGCTAATAGTCCTTGGAATTACTTTCTGACGCGTCGAGGTTCAATTGATGAAAAGTGTCTGTTGCATTATGGGTATGTAGCGTAAACAGATACGAACCATTCAGTTCAACGATCGACTTTCTGTACTCATTAGTCCGAAACTACTGACTTTTAATAATCAGATTAATTTAGATTTAACACCTCAATGATTCCGAAGGACGAAGCTTGTTTGTAAACTGGAGTAGATCGTTTCTAAAAAATTGCGGAACCATGACGATGAAAAATAAACTTCTTAAATTCAAAAATGCAGAAAAAGAAAGAAAATTGTGGGTTTTTTTTTCCAAATTTGCAGAACTAGCAAGGCTTTAAAATATATTTCAAAATACCCCTAAATTGGCAAACTTAACAAAAGTAATGAAAGGGGAGACATCAAGGGTTTTTTTTTTTTGGTTCTTCTTTTGTAAAGGGGCATATTTTCTGTTTATGTTGAGATTAATAGCCTACAGTCGTTCATATTAGGGCAATGCTGATTAACAAAAAGAACGGAACCGTTACACTGGGTAATTCGGCAAGGTTGAGATAAACATCCAAACGCCAGAAGCAGCACATTTTAGCCCCTGATAAGGCTAGGCTTATAATGAAAACAATCGATGTCAGAATCACCAGTCTTCATCGATTTTTGTGTTCAGCGTCTCCCCACGCGTCTTGAACATTCACAATAAACACGGTAACCGTTTCTTGTTCTTAATTTCGGATTACTGGTCTTTTTTTTAACGGCGTGTTGTTATGGGCCTATTAGTTCAAATTCGCTCGTGTGCAACGAAGCGAAATCGGTTAAATGTTTGATAAGGTTTGGTTCTGTAGAAAAGCTACGCTAAATAACACGTATTTCTCAATTAATAACGCATTGTTTCTAATGTAAATAATATGTTGACATTATTCAGATGTGTGATGTGTCTGGTGTTCATTAACTATTGTCAATCGATTGATATTGACTTACATAACAAATATAGGTCGGAATCAACTCTCGTGTAAAATGACATTTTATGTCTGGCCCATCTTCACAATGGAATGGTCAAGGTATTACTACAATAGCCATCTGCAATGATTTGATTGGATTTGTACGCTACAAAATACAGCCAATCATGCCTCTACAGAACGTCTGTAAATACTAAGCCTTAGTCTTTCTGTCGAGGGCTCTGATTGGTTGTTTGCACTAGCGCACAATCTAATCAAATCACTGCATTTTTACCTACAAGAAAGGTTTACCTACAAGACGAAGTCTGCAATACCTTGACCATTGTGAAGATATGTCCGGCCCTACTCAGTATTACACCCGTAATCATTCATCACGTGTGAGAGCTGCGTTAGCCTAGCTGTTGGTCAAGAAGTAACAAGGTAGACAAAATTGTGAACCGATATATTTGAACTGAGGTCAGTAAGGATTGGTAAGAGCTGGCGCTATATTGTAGGCGTACTACACCCCACTATTTAGACAACTTAGACTGTTGTACAATCAAGGCCAAAACAAAGGCCAAGGGAGAAGTGCACTTCCTACTAGGACCCCAGTAGTGGCAATAACAGAACTGTTGTTATCATATTGTCGTCAGACACAAACTCATATTGAAAAATGTAAGAAAGACACAGACTCCGGTGTCAACGTCAACGACTGATCCGTGTTTTATGCCTTTTTAAAAACATCGGAATCTGGTAGTGGTACTCCACGAGATAGTAGAGTAACTAGCATTTCATATTCACCTTCTGGGAGGGGTTCGTAGTCGTAATCTCCGTAAAAGTCTTCTGCCGACTTATTCTTTGCTGTAGATCTGCTGCCTTTGCGTAGCATTTCAGCTTCAGCCCTTGAGGAGTGTTTTGGACGTAGACAGAAAAATAAAGACTAAGGCAGACGTTGTTAGGCTAATATGGCGATGACCTTGACACCTTGTAACGTTAATCTCGCGAGATTTGAACGGGCACTTGTTTTACCCGAACTTCCGGTATACTGGCTACTCTATCATCCAGAGCCTAAACTAAAAGTTGAACATTCCCTTTCTTAGTAGGCCTAGCCTAGTATGTTTACCGGTATGTATTATTATAGATGGCCTTATAAGAAAAGTATTGTAGGCCTGTCAATGATGATATCAAGCGCTAATGTTCAGTTATAGCTTTCATTACCTTAAGTGCACTGGGTATTGCCCTTTAACGGTCGGGGCGTTTTGTATGATTTAATTATATTCCTTTACACGATCTGGATAAAAAAAAATATAAAGTAACTATTGTAATCAGATTAAATTCACAATTGAGTCTTGATTAAAAACGAAGACCTGTCCTATAATTTAGATCTTATATGAAACGGATAGGCCTGCACGATTCAAAAGTCTTAGTTATAAAAAAAAAACTTCCATCAAACATTAATAAGCAACAGTCTTTAAGCTAGAAAAAATATCACCGGACATCGCAGACATTTTAACATCACATAAAACCTGGTACAAAATAAGCGAAAAGCGTTCGAAACCCTGTGTCGATAGGAGCCCGAAAGTTATGATCTTCCAAGAGATGCGGAATTAAAATCATTTTGACCCTGGCGAAGCAAATTGCACTTCAAAGTAAACAAGGGACATAGCTGTAAAAAAAGAAGGAAAATCTAATAAAAGGATCGCCGATCGCTGATAAAACAGGATTCAATGGTCCTTAAAAGAACGCGTCATATGCCTCCGCAAATGGTACTATTAAACTTTTAACCTAAACGAAACCATTGTTATTAGTGATACCCACCGACTTTTCCCGCAGGGCATAACTTGAATTTCTATAATTAGATCAACAGAGCTATATCTGGAATTTATTCTTAATTAGGACCACCGCACATCGGCTTCCATACCAATTAAGTCCAACATAATCTGTCATATTGTTATACGTGTGCAAATAGCCGAAATTATTCAAATTTGAATCTGACGTGAGTTAGCTAAGTAGCTGATAATAAAAATAATTTATTGATTCCTACTCATTCAAGAGATAGTCGGTCATAAAGATTTTTAAGAATTGCAGGAATCCCGTCGGATGGGGAATCGGGTCAAATAGGTGTTATACGTAATGCAAAACCTACGCCACATCTTTTGAATAAGTTTTGACAATTTGGGAACCCGATTAGAACTTTGTAAACACCAACGCCTTCATTAGCTGTTTCCCAAACCATTGGAACGCTATCCTGAGTAATTTGTAGACGTAACAAAGAAAGTTTTCAAATTCAAATTAAAGACAAGATCGTTGTCAACAAAGTATAGACTACAAAACAAAGATAAGCTAAAAACAGCTTGTTTTAAGCGCATTAAAATTATATGTAAAAATATACTCTTATAGCCCATAAATGATGTAAATGTTTCGTGTGAGTCCGTAATTTCCAATAACAAAATCACGACAACGTGTATTTCAAACACGAGTTTGTCACCTAACGACACCATTTTACAGCCGACGAAGAACGTGCGTCAGCCTTGGCGCATGCATACGGAATCTTTAGCTAAACATTTGTGACAATAAGTTATCTTTGCACCTGATTGTGCATACTGTAAATTGTTCACATATTTCATTGTCACCTCTGCCACAATGACGCAAATGTAACATTTCCCGACGCATATAACTCACAACTAACCACAATGCTGGTCCACAAACACTCGTGGTACGTGTCCGGTAATCTCGAAGGGTGCGACAGTATTACCAAACATGTGCAACAGTTTTATACAAAACCGAATTGCGTTAATTTTAAAAGATATGAATGCATCATGAAAAGAATGCATAATAATTTTTTCTCAGAGCACATCACGATTTTGAAAAGACTTCAATAACACATGATACAAATTTCAATATCAAGAACGTTTCTTGCAATATTATACATCATATAGTGTTCAATAACACATCAATACATTAAAGAACATATCATTAGGCAATTATTGTCACATTTATTTATAGCTTGTGGTCAATGTAATGCAAAATTTGAAAAAAAGCTAAATCAGATTAAATGGTTTATCTATTTAAAGAGATTGTAAAGAGGTTTTCAATATTTAGTCAGACGTCAGTGACGTCATCAAACACTTAGTTTTAATGGAATTGCATGAACCACGGATGTCTGACTAAAACTTGGAATGGTGCAAACCTCGGTAAACTCCCTTTAAGACGAAAGAGGGTAGTAAGCATGATATATAGGTTTAACTAATAAGCTGGAGAAATAGATATTTTGTCGTGATACATTTTACATCCACATGTATCAACTATAAATAGTTCCACACACAAAAACAATCGTCCTGAGCCAAGAAAACTTGATCGAAATAACAACTTCACAAAATGAAGGAATGTAAACAAGTTGTCCCTGATGAACCTTATTCGAGGAGGTTTTAAAAGACAGTGCGCTACAAATCGAAAGCATGATGCACCTGAACCTATTAGCCACTCTAACATGGAAGCAAAAATACATGCTTCGAGGTTGGGAAATCACATCCAAAATAAACATAACTGTATTACCCGATGTAAAAGACTCCACTTTGTTGTCGATGATAGGTTTTGGCCGAAATCCCAAATATCCAAGAAGATAAAGAATAAGAGTTTCCAAGAATTCCTGAACTTTCTGGCATATTTTTTGCAAACATGCAGCACTCTTAGACAATGTCATGTTATTAAATATCCTTGATAGAGGCAGTCGCCAAAGAGAACCTCTTTCACCATTGTTGTTCACTGTGTGTGTATCGCCCTGTGCGACTTCTGGACAGGGCGACGACTGCTTATCTGCTGTATTATCCAGATTATCTTAAAACAAAGGATACAACCAATCGAATCTAGAGATAAAAACCATCAACATTGTTTGATTATGGAATCTATAAAACATGCACCAAGTTAACGAAGATTCATATCTTAGAAAAGTTTTCGAGATTGATGTCATAGCAATTGGCTTGGACCCAAAGGAAAGTCATCGGTAATCGACCTACCATGTAACAAGTTTTCAATATTACTGATTGATGTTTATGCAAATACATCTTCGCTTCGTTATGCTCATTAATTTATACTTATGAAAATGATCATACGTTTGTTTTTATTTGTTATTTTGGAATATGATAGTGGTTTCTGCCAGTTTTCCATTGTGTGGTACTAATTTTAGATGGCATCTCAAGATAAAATTGTTGGCTTTACTGTTTAGGCGAATTACTGTCTAGGTTTTCGACAAAGCTAAACAAAACAACTAGTTTCAACTTCTCTAATTTCCAAAGGTAACCAAGCTTATCTAAATATATATATATATTAGATTAATTCAAGATTCCTGCATGATTATGTTGTTTTCATTAGTCCAATATTTGAATTATAATCCATATTTTGATCAAAGTCAATGAGTTTTAGTTTTAGTAATCCATTTAGTTCGTCAAATATTCATCATCAACGATCCAATTCATTTAGTAATTGATCGAGAGTTTATAGTAACAAAAAAATATCATTTGTAACCTTCTAACCTTGTCCGAATCGAAGAGACATACTGATAAGTTATGGGAACAGATATTTCAGATATGTTAATTATCTAGGATTAGGCTATGTTATAAAATCAAGATGAGACAAAACAACAATTTAGTCTCTTTTAGCTTAGCCCAGTGAACTGGAAAGAAGGTGGTCAATAACCAAGCTATGACAATGCTGCAAGAATTATTATATTTTTTGCTCAACTTTGCAACTGAAAGTTATTAGCCATGTAGGACAATTTTCATCCAATGCTCTCCAAGACAGAGGGACTGATATGTAACAAAAAAAAATCAGTCAATCAAAAATCTCGTCCAAAGAATGGGATAATCGGGAGTAAAGGTTGTATAGTAGATAAATATCATCAGGTGTTTCGAAAAGAGTAAGAATGGTCACTACTACATAAGATGCAACCAGATAAATCCATGCCTGACCAAACAAAACAGCCAAAATGCAGGAAACAGATTTATTATATTTATCAAAACGTCTAGGGGTCGAGTCACAAATAAAGATCCCCCGTCTCCATGTATGAATTTAACATTTCAATCAATTATAACTAAATCTTAATATGCGAGAAAGTACCTACAATCAAAAACAGTTTCTCAGTACAAGTAAACTTTGTTTCATTTGAAAGCTATTTTGGTAAAGTTACATAACTGAAAATTGGGTGTAGCTATGAAAAGATCTTAGTGCACCCTCAGGGTATCTCACAATACTGTTTTAAGTCCATGGTCAAATAAAATATAGGTCGCGTTTTGATTAACAACAAAAAGCTATCCAGATTGTTGTACATATATAAACACTATTGTGATAAAAGATAACGGATGCTGAACTCATGACCTCTAACCTTTGACTTTGAAAATTTCTCCATCTTTTTATCCTACAGCACGCCGAACGTTTTACAGTATAACTGGATATAGGGATATAGTGTATAAGCCTACACACATATGTAAGTCATATACCATACTAGAGTTCTAACTTACCATCTGATGCATACATCATATATATTTCACGACGGATTCTAGAAGCTTCTTTCAGCCTCGCACATTCTCTGGATTCTCTCCTTTCTTCAAACTTTCGAGTGGAACTTGCTCTAGGACACGGATGAGAAGTGCTGGGACCAGGATAAGAGTTCCTTTCCTTCCGTAACGGTACAAATCCCGTTGGTTTATTTGTGTTTAGATGTATTCCACTGGTACTCATCCGTTCTCTTTGTTTACTTTCATCACGTTTCCTATATTTCTTTTCAGGATCTATTAAATCCCAGAAAAAGTGCATGTTGGATGCTGTCTGTTCGACTGACACTAATAACTGTGCTGGAATATCCTGTCTTCACTTCTAAAGTTTTGGTTTCAACATTTCAAACACAATTCTGACCATACAAGTTTGGTTAGTAAATACTATGACCTGTATCTGCCTATGTCATAACAAAACACAGTACTCCTTACTTTTCTATCTAATTTCGTTGAATGAATGAACACGAAATGTTTAAAAATCCTACTAGACAAATCACAAAAGGGGATGAACCAAGGAGCTGTTACTAAACCGTAGTTGTTATCGAAGCGTATAAATGATTAGCTCGCACTCACTGCCTTCTACGGCATGAATACTCCAGATTATTATGTGGGTATAAAATGTCCTATTTACTGAACTATAAATAACTCAAATCCCCGTGGTGAAGCTTGAATTTAAATTCAATGATCATATTATGTGAAATCGTGTGAAAACGTATAAAATTACAAGTTAAAAGTAAAACGTTACTAAATATAGCATGCGAACAATAGAATGAATGCAACTCTTATCTAACTTTAAACAACTATGCTATAACCGACTGTAATACTTCGAAAGCAACAAGCATGTGTGTGAGTTGCCTGGCTTAAAAAACTTAAATAAGACATCCAGTCATAAAAAAAAACTTATTTTTAATCGAAAACAAAATAAAAATTTGTTTCTCACAATCAATTTTGTTGTAGTTTATTTCTAACAAATAAAATAGAAATATCTTGATATGATTAGTCATAAACTCAAGAGATTAATGCGGATTAGGAAAAGATAATTCGGATATAATCTTTTGTTCAGTATGTATTTCTATCTTAATTCCCGAATCCATACTAATTAGTTTTCTTCAATACTTTTTTTTTTCAATTCAGATTTCTTACTAGTATGGAATGGAGTTTTACGCCTCTCTGATCATCAAGTCTGAAGATCTGGTCTAAAAATAAAACCTGGCATGATAAAAAAATCATTATTGAAGGTCTTAGATTAGGATTTATTTGGATCCTGCAGAATTGGTTCATATTTACTAATTGATATATGTCATCAAATTATGTATTTTATTTTAATACGAAATTTTTCGATACAAAATTACCGATAATGTCCCTTTAAAAGCAAAACCCTCAAAAATATGACAAAATATTACGAGGGAAGCATTGAAGGACTGTAGTATTTCAATCCATGTCCTGGCGTTCATAGGGTCAATAAAAAAAACTTGTTGTACAAAATTGCCTCACTTAGTTGTTCGAGTAACACCCAAAGAGCTGACAGTCAAAGCTTCAGCTCAATTTCAGGAGAACCGAACTTTAAGCTTTATTTCAAGATAGATATAGCTTAAATTGAGCGTTGTTAGTTGGCACAGAATATATTTAAAAGGATATATTACTTTAAATAGATGAAAATATAAGGGTATTTTCTTCAATCGAAATCACATACCTTTAAAATTTTTGTCTTTTTTGTCCTTTTTGCTCTCTTTCCTAGTAAAAAAACCGAATATCTTTTTTGGTTTTTCTAAAAAGAACATGGTAATGAATTGTTACATTAATCATACAACGTACACTCACAAAACTGGAATGTTCATTTTAACTAGACCTAATGCACACTGTCGAAATGTGCATAAGTTCGGAAGTTCAAAAACCGTAGGTATGATCACTCTTACTGGAAAACATAATGCCACTCTGCGACTGACCCGTGTTCGCGTATTCTAAATCGATTCTATAAGATGAACTCTGACTAAAAGACAAATATAGATGTTTCATTTTGATTTTTTTTCTACAGGTTTCTTTCTACACTTGCCATCCATGATTTCTAAAGATTCTTCGTGTGTTGTATGAAATACTGACCCAATAGCATTTAAAGTTACAATTTATGCAGAAAATATTATCATGTTTAACAATAATCTAGATATCATTTATCAGAATTCCTTAAATGAAGCAAGAAAATCATTGTTTTAACAGAGCATTTTGGTCTTTTGGATATTAAATTACCAAGAACGTGAGATGAATAACAACCTTGTCATTATGAATGGCAAGTAAAGTCACTTGCAGATTTGCATTTTATTCTGATTGTATAAGATACACAGTGGCGGCGCCAGCCTCCCGAGACTGAGGGTACAAATAAGGGCAGACTGACTCAGGGGGACAAGACTGTCGAAGCTGAATTCAAAATGCAACAACTCTGTTGCGTCTGAGAGGGTTCTCCCAAATTTTCTTTTTTGAATTGATTTGGTGCATTCTAACACATATTTTGATGCGCAAAAGTATAAAAATCTTATTTTAAATTTGTTAAAAATAAAATGGGGGTAGAAATTGGGTACAAACCATCTAGGGGGACACATGCCACCGCCCCTGAAGATACATTGTAAATGTATATACCTTTTGTCTCAGTTTCCTTACCAGGAGTAGCATTAAGTTCAACTTTAGTTTCCTGAGCTTCATCTTCGGGTATATCTGTTTCATCACAATTCAGAGCTGATTTCTCTCCGGAAGTTATATCGGTTTGGCTGGTATTTATTTCATTTTTATCGGCAGGATTCTCTCCGGACGATGCTTCGGCTTTGCTGGATTCTGTTTCATTTTTAACAACGGGCTTCTCGTTAGACGTTACTTCCGCCTTGCTGGTTGCTGTTTCATTTTTTTCAGAGGGTTTCTCTTTGGTCGTTTCCTCGACTTTGCAGGTATCCGTTTCATTTTGATCAGCAGATTTCGCTGTGGGCGCTTTTTCGGCTTCGCTGGATGCTGTATCAGCTTCAATGGTTTGGGATGCTTTTAGCACCACCTCTTGGGTTTCATTTTCAACATCGGATTCTTTCGGTGACACACCTTTGTCCGCCATATTGTTTCTAAGCTTAAGTTTGGATGTCAATACTTTAGTAACACAACAATGGGCGTTGACCTAAATATCCGTTCAAGATTTATTCCAGGGAATTCGTAAAAGTGGTGTGAGTTGTAAAAATGAAAAACAAATTTTGAAAGCGAGAATAGTAAAAAGCCTATCTTCAGCAAAATGGCCGCACTTCTTTCACCTTGGTTTAAATGTTAATTTTCTACACTTCCAAACGATTATTTGTACCCACAACAGACACTTCAATGGTATTCCAAATCAAAATTAGAAAACTACAACAAGTTCAGGTTCCATGCCTTTATTCCATTGTTATAAACATTGTAGAGATAGTCTGCATACTCAGTGCATTTAAACCATTAATTTAACATGGCACACAATTAGCTGATAAAGATTGCCATAAACTCGATCTTGTGGAATATGCAGATGCTGTTGTCCTAAATTTTTTTCGTTAACTATCCAAAATCTGTCCCGGAAGACCTTCCTACTGCTATATCTAACTTCTTGTCCAAACGATAGCAAAGTATTCCCGGAAATGCGGCTATTAAACAAGTATGACATAAAGGATCATAAGTCATAGAAATAGCAACGTTGTTAAGACCACCAAAATAACATTCTTACATACATTAGTCTATTGAACTATATTTTTCATTCAAAGATCTATTGAAAATAAACATTCCTTTTTGGGACTGTTATACAATAGAGAAGCGCTATAAATATATTTACATTTATTTTATTAGAGTTATAAGGGCCTTAGTATTCATGAAAACTTAACTTAAGTTTATTTTAGTGTTTCAATCATCTGATTGGTCAATCACTAAATATTGATTGAGTTTTGTTACCCAATCAGATTACAGTATTTCTAAAAATCTGGATTTTTATTTAAGTTAAGTTTTAGAGAATAAGGATCCAGTAAGACTTTGCTTATAAACTTACCATCAGAAGAAATTTTAAGTATTTAAAAACCCAATAATCAATATCAATATACTCATCAGTACAAACAATATACTCATCAGTACAAACAATATACTCATCAGTACAAACAATATACTCATCAGTAAAGAAAATATAATCAGCAGCATAGAGAACTAACCATTATATATAAAACTATAATCATCAGTACAGAAAACTGATCATCAGAACAGAACACTAATCATCAGAACAGAATAGAAAACTAATCACCAGAACAGAACACTAATCATCAGAACAGAATAGAAAACTAATCATCAGAACAGAATAGAAAACTAATCATCAGAACAGAACAGAAAACTTATCATCAGAACAGAACAGAAAACTTATCATCAGGACAGAATAGAAAACTAATCATCAGAATAGAATAGAAAACTTATCAAACAGAACAGAACAGAAAACTTATCATCAGAACGGGAATCATACCATGGTAAGAAATTATGTACAGTATAAATTAAAAAAAACTATAATCATCAGCACAAAAAATTAGAATTATCAGTATCAGTCTATTATCACCAGTACGAGAAATAATCACTCGTTTCTAGCACTAAAATTAAAGGTAGAAATAGTTGAAGAAATGAGGTTATAGACGGCAATGGAGAAGAATAATTGAAGAGTGCACCATCAGGTGTTCCTATTACCATTACTCACAATTCAACCTCTAATTAAATACTTTTTTGAACACGCAATTCCATCAATTTCCTATTGGTTAAGCTGACCTTCTGTTGAATTTGTGTGTAATTATAACCCAGGATTTCGCAACAATATATCAGACTGTCACACCACAAACAGATCTAATGAAGAAGAATTGCGTCATGTTCTGTTAATTGTATTGAATATTAATCTCTGTATTTTCAGATACTACAGAGGCGTTTGCATGATTATATATTAGTAAACAAGGACGCATATTCACAATTACGAACTGCGTCTTATACCTTGACTGCAATAGCAAACTTTCTTGTATCACGAAATACATCGATTTAATTGGATTGTACGCAACCGAATACAGCTAATCAGAGCCCTCGACTTTAAGACTGCAAACATTATGGCTTATGGTTTACATAATTTCTGTTCTGTCAAGGGCTCTCATTGGCTGTATTCGGTAGCGTACAATTCATACAAATTTCCACGATATAAGAAAAGAGCCTATTGAAGTCTCTGTTCGTAATAGGAAGATATAGCACAATCTGTAGAGGTACATTGCTGAATTTCTCTCTTCTCTGAATAAATCAGTGAATTGAAGGTGATTCGAAAACACGTTTTTTAAAAAATAACAATTTCATCTGTCTAGCTTTTTATCTTTTTTTCCCAATCGATCATTAAAATGTCAGATTTGGGTCTATAAATAGTATGTTTATCTAAATATGACCATTTAGCATATACTCTATCAGACTCGCATGATTAACTATAACTTACATCTCATACATTAGCTTTCTTAAAATAACTCTATATTACTATATTGATATATCACAATCCAAAACCATCCTTAATGCTGATACTGATATATTGAAACACTGACTGCACCTTCCTTACAGATACTTGTCTCATCATGATCGACATTGATCTGACAAATATAGATACTGATTTCATCAAGATGAACATGATCTGATAAATACAGATACTGATTTCATCAAGATAAACATGATCTGATAAATACAGATAGCGATTTCATCAAGATAAACCTGATCTGATAAATACAGATACAGCTATCATTAAAATAAACCCTGATCTGATAAATAAAAACACTGGCAATCAAAATACTACCTGATCTAGTAAATACATCTAGGCCTGCTGATTTTATCCAGATAAAAACTGATTTGATAAAAACAGATACAAAATACAGATACTGATATCACCAAGATAAACCATGATCTGATAACAACAGATATTGATATCATCAAGGTAACCCTGATCTAATAAATACAGATACTGATTTGATCAAGATAATACAGATACTCTTTCTGGGTTTATCAAAAAATCAATCTTCCAATATACTAGTAAGTTTTCTGTTAATCAGTTACGAGAATATCAACTAGAAATTCCGCAGTAAAACTTTTTCCAATTCATATAAAATCGCTGCGTCTTAAATTATTTTGATTTATAAAGAGAGAAAGAATTAAATGTATTTTGAAATGAGATTAATTGGATATATTCGTGACGGCTTTATTCCTTCGTACGGTCTGCGATCAATTACAGTTAACAATTCATAGAAATATTTATTTTTTAACATCTCACGAATTCCATTCAGACTTTTTTTAATGGTTATGAAATCTGTGACATGAAACCTTGGTTACTACATGACCCGCTGTAGCAAGATTACTGACCCAATTAGACAGGTAATTACTTGTTAATTTGTTGCTTCGCTCATTCAAAGAAACTGTGAATTGTGCACAAGACAGATTATGTTGGTAACTCGTTCATTTATATGTATCACTAGCTACTAGAATCCCAACTATCCATCACAATCAATGCTAATTGAAATCTACGTACATACTAATTGTAACTCAGCCAAAGACGATTCGCCCTTTCCATTTAAGCCCTCTCGACCATCAACACTACCTTAGGATTCAGAAGACAGGCATCTCCAGAGCAAATATCTAGAACATCGAGTTACTCAGCTTTCCATGAAGACGGAAGAGAGAATTACTCTTGTCAATTTCATTAGGGTTAAGTACAATCTACAACAGACAACCATCAAGCCTAAATGCGTTTATTTCATTGAAATTCACAACTTGACCGACTGTCTGAAATTCATATAAACCATAGATTTGTCTCCCGACCTCCTTCACAATATCGTCTGGTATCAGTCTGACCTACTCAGCAGATAAAGGAACCATATAAAATTGACGGTTAAATAGAAATAAAAGTTATTTGATCAATAAATTACTCCTTCCCTTCTACGTTTTTATTGAACCACACAAATAGAAATTGACCGACTGGCATCTATTCTGGATTAAAGCCACAAGATGAAGATTTGGTCGAGAAATAGGTAACAATATGTAGGTCATCTAGGCCGGAAGTGATAGTTATAAATTGTTTTCAATTTCAATATCCGCTATCAATCTAATCTAGGCACGTGTTTCAGACATAAAATCCTTACCAGGACAGTTTGTTCAAAATAGAGGGTAATGTTACAACCATTGGGACTTCGGATAACTAGCAAAATTAAACTAGCAGAACGGCAAAACGTTGGTTAGTAACTCTTATCGCTTTCGAGGGAGTGAAGGAAATGCAAATATACACTTTACATTTACATTTAATCTACATCTGTCCCTTGATGACTACGAAAAACAGCATGCTGACATATGACAAAATAAAGTCTATTATACGGAAGCCATATAGAAAAAAACTCTTGCCGTGTGTGCCTTTAAAACCATCTCACTTTCTTAATTCAGTATCACTTAGAGTATTCTAAAACATATACTCGAGATCAAGGTAATCTAATGAATACAGGCCTGATTCAATCAAAGACTTGAGGTTGATTATATATTCCATTGGTGAACTGAACTGATTTTATTATTCAGGAACCTTGCTAAGAAGAATGATTTGCGTTATCAAATAAATCCAACTGCTATATTTGTTGAAGGGCGATGCTATTGTACTTGAACTTTCATACACATTTGATAAAATATAATGAAATAATGATTTTTGGGTTAATGGAGTTAACAGATTCCTTAGAGTACGTGTGCGTCGATAATTATCTTAAATCTATTTACAACTTCATACAGTGGTTCAGTCTTACTTTCAGACCAGATATCATTACAAACAGATTGTATCCATATATATAGATTTCTGTGACACGATGACATTGAGCAGCCATTGGTCTCGGGTGAAGGAATATGCCACTGATTTCGTGCTTTTTTGGAAACAAAAACTATAATGTGTGAATTTGCTCAAAATGGCGAATGTTGCTGTCAATAATGGCGAATAGTGCTATCAAAATGGTCAATAGTGCTGTAATGTATTCCCATATGACTGAAAACAGTCAATCTAAAATTGCATATTAATTGGTAGCATTCCAATGA